CTGAAAGAATGAGAAACAACGTCCAGAGAAGATTTCAGTTTCATGAGGAGTTAGGTATCAGTGCTCCAGAACACCATCTGTGAATTCCCTAGGCTGGGATTAGTGGAGCAGTGAAGTGGGAAATAGCAGCTATCTAGAAAGTCAGGTTTGGGGAGAGTCTGCTGACCTCACTTCCTCCCTGTTAAGGACCCCAGATAAGACAGACACAGTACCTCCTTCCTCTTATTGTTCATGTATGGATCAGTCCGATACTGCTCCAGAATGTTGGGGTAAGTACTACTTATCAAGAAATGACTTTCTGATGTTCCTTAGCTTATGCATTGAGAGAAAAACAAAGAAACAAACAACAATCAACACTGTAGCGAATCACTGAAAACATTCTGAAGGCAATCAAACTTTTTTTTTTGAGACGGAGGCTCGCTCTGTTGCCCAGGCTGGAGTGCAGTGGCGCAATCTCGGCTCACTGCAACCTCTGCCTCCTGGGTTCAATCGATTCTCCTGCCTCAGCCTCCCGAGTAGCTGGGATTACAGGTGCATGCCACCATGCCTGGCTAATTTTTGTATTTTTAGTAGAGATGGGGTTTCACTATGTCGGTCAGGCTGGTCTCGATCTCCTAACCTTGTGATCCACTTGCTTCGGCCTCCCAAAGTGCTGAGATTATAGGCTTGAGCCACTGCACCTGGCCGGCAATCAAACATTTTTTAAATCAGAAGAGGTAGATATTGTGTACTGTCCAAGACCATATTCAGTAGTGCCCCCTTATCCTTAGTGGATACATTCCAAGACATTCAGTGGATGCCTGAAACTACAGGTAGTACTGAACCCTATGTTATTTTCCTGTACATATACCACCAATGATGAAGTTTGAAGTGCGGCAGCAAAACTAGCATGAATTTCTTTTTCGTTCTTCACAATTCCACAGGTAGAAGATTCATTTTTACTGTAGATCTTAGCAGCCTCAGCATACAATTTTTTCTTTTTTTCTATTAAGTCGAGACCTTTAAACTTTTCATTCAAAGGAGGCACTTCCTCTTGGGCATATCTGAATCGCCAAGATCACTATTCTTGCACTTTGGGGCCATTATGAAACAAAATGAGGGTCACTTGAAAACAGACACTGCAATACTGAAACAGCAGATCTTATAACCGAGAAGGCTACTAAGTGACACACAGTGTAGACTGTGGATCGCCCAAACAAAGGGATGATTCACATCCCGAGAGGGAAGGCACAAGATTTCATCACACCACTCAGAATGGCATACAATTTAAAACTTAGGAATTATTTATCTTTGGAATTGTCCATTTAATATGTTCTATGGGTAACTGAAACCACAGAAAGCAAAACCATAGGTAAGGGGGCACTACTGCAATTTTTTGCCCTCAACTAAATGACTGTGATGCCAACTAGCCAATGGCAGATGAGGCTTAAGTAGGTCAGGTGGAACCAGAGGATGGAGCAGCCTTCTCTGCAACCCTTAGTCAGAGTCTGGGGTCAAAGGAAGAAAGGCATCCCTGCAATGTGAGCTTATTCCTTTCCCTCTTTTACCTTCTCAGATAGTTTCATAGCTGTGGAGGGTGAGAAGATGCTCCAATTCCAGCTCTTGGCTGATTATATGATGCCTCTGACCTATCTCTTCCCTCTTCACTTCAATTTATAAAGAAAATATTATCCTCCATGACCAGTGGTATTTTTTATTCTGCCATTTACAAGCTTTGCCGCATGGCCACACAAGCTTCTAATTGATAAATTTCTGAGAAAAATTTAGTTATGGTAACTCACAGTGCAAGTGACCATGTCGATCATTTACATTGTGACAACAGCTTACTTTTGACTAGCGGTTGAAGCTTCTAGAATATTTTCCCTTCTTCAAATATTGGAACTGTTTTTAATTAATTGTGTTATATGGTAATGTGGTCTAAGGCTTAGATTGCTTAGAGATGTAAAAGGGAATGCTTCATTCATTCACCATTCAACAAAATAGGCTGGGCACTTCTATGTGCCAGAGGACTGAAGTTAGTAATAGCTAACACTAATTTACTATTACTATATGCTATATAATATATAAATAATTTTATTTATTTATTTTTCTTTTAAGATGGAGTCTCTCTCTATCACCCAGGCTGGAGTGCAGTGGCATGATCTCAGCTCACTGAAACCTCTGCCTCCTGGGGTCAAGTGATTCTACTACCTCAGTCTCCCTAGTAGCTGGGACTACAGGTGTGCACCATGATATCCAGCTACTTTTTGCATCTTTTTTGTAGAGATGAGGTTTCACCATGTTGGCCAGGCTTGTCTCAAACTCCTGGCCTCAATTGTTCCACCCGCCTCGGCCTCCCAAAATGCTGGGATTATGGGTGTGAGCCACCGCACTTGGCCAATAATTTTACATTTTTTTTCATTTTCACAAAAGTCTTCTGAGGTTCTGTTATGATGATTATTAGGTAGATGAAAAAACTTGGAGTTTAAGCAACTTGACCAAGAACACATAGCTATTAAGTGGTACAGTGGGATATAAATTCAAACAGAGTGGGTCTGGGCTCAAACTGCCTGCCTGCCTAGCTCTCAAATACTCTGTGGTCAAGTTCCTGACCACAGGGAGCTTACAGAGCAATACAAGATTATTGATTCCCTTAAGTGTGATTTGTGATTCCAAATATTTCATTAAGACCAACCCAACTTTCAGAATTTAGTGATATATGTGGCTATCCCAGCTAAACCTTAACTCAAAACTAAGTTAAAGTTACATTTGAGTAGTTTCGCCGTAGGAAAGCAAAGATTGATTTGGGTGGGGGTGTCCTGAAATATTTTTCTTTGAGGTTTATAGAGCGGCAGAATGTGAGTAATAGTTTATATTATATACTCCTCTCCCATAGTTTCCCACTCAATGCTTGATATAAGTCTTCTGTAATTTTTCTTTGAATATATTTTACTGTGCTTACTATCCTAGTGAAGAATTATATGCCCCAAATTCATGATGAGAATGAAGTAATCATATCGTAGTCAGGTGTAGTTCTAAAGAATCCTGGAACCTGGCTATGAATGTTTTGGTTTATTATCAAAATCTCACTGTTTTCTTCATATTCTACTATAGTTTTTCATCCTCTACAAACACTAATCTCCTGTGTCTGTGGGGCAGATACTCATTTCACTCGTTTTGCTGCCATGCTTCCAAGGGGAAATGTGAGGAGATGACGGTATTAATAGGTCTCCTCTCCCTGTTCTGTATTTATAGCTAGGACAGAGTAAGCAGATTCTAGACCTCAGTCTAGATGCCAGTTTGAACACCTTTGCAACACTACCACTCCGAAATGTTGAGAAATGCTGAGAGCCTGAATTATAAATCATAGCAATAATGATAGAGCGAAGACAAATTTGGGGATATATTGAAGGTAGACCCTGCAACTGGGTTGCAGCTAACTGTGAGTGTGAATAAATTTATATATTAATAAAGACAGTCTTTTTTTTTTTTTCTGAATCTAACAGAGCATAGGATTTGCTACACAACTACCCCTCCATGAAATGACTAGGTGGCAACATAAAATTCGATCAGCCATGTTTTTCTTAAAAAAAGTTTAACGTTTTTTTTTGTATTTTGATATTTCTAATGTTTCCTACTTCAGTTCATTTTTCACAATATCATCAGAGCCCTTTCTAAGATGTTGATCAAATTGATTTCTACTCCTTAAAACTTCTAATGACTTCTTATTACCTACAGCATAAAATTAAAAGGTCCTTAGCACAAAATACAAGACCTTTTATAATAAGGCCCTGTCAGAATTCTCCCACCTGGATAAATCCCCTCCTCCCTTCCTACTCCTATTCTTTTCCCATATCCTGCACATCCTACATACCAGCCACCCAGAATTTCAGAAGACACCAGGCTGTTTGAAATCCTTGTGATTAACATATGCTGTGTCTTAGTCTGTTTTCTGTTGCAATAACAGAGTATCACAGACTGGGTAATCTGTAAAGAAAATAAATATACTTCTCACAGTTCTGGAGGATGGGAAGTCCAAGAGCATGGCTCCAGCATCTAGTGAGGGCCTTTGTGTTATACCATAACATGGTGGAAGAGAAGGGGGCACACAAGACAGAGAGAGGCACCAGTGATCAGACTGTCTTCACAATAACATACTCTCACAATAACTAACCTGCTCACATGATAACAACATTAATCCATTTATCCAATCATCTCTTATTAGGAAAGATCCAATCATCTCTTATTAGAGCCCATTTCATGACACTGTTGCATTGGAGATTAAGCTTCCAACACAGGAACTTATTGGGAGACACATTCAAACCACAGCAAGCTATTCTCTGCTTAAAATGACTTTTCTTTCATTGAAAACCGCCATTCTTATGACAAGTCCCCTGTGGCTCTCTATTATGAAGCCTTCCTCACTGTTCCTGGAGAGAATGAGTAGCTCTGACTGAGCAGTCTGCACTGAGCAGCCACAGCTATTGCTTAAATATTTGGTATATCACTTAGTACTTCTGAGTGTATACATTTGTTCATATTTCCATTTCTCATTAGACTAAAAATCCTCCTAGGTTATTATTTTGCTTTATTCATTCTGTATTTCCAGGGCCCCCATCACAATAGAAGATGGTTAATGAACAGAAAATTAATGAATAAATATCTTGCCTCTTGCTTTACTTTTAGAACTCCTATCCATGTAATGACGATGACAAAAACAATGAGTTTGAGGGAGAAGTTAAAAGTGCTATCTTTATGCTCCACCTTCCAATCAAGCTTTACTCCGTCTGTCTGCAATTTTCTACACAATAATTTCATTGCAAAACTTATTGTCCTAGAGGTAATGGAGCAGGAAGAAAAGAGAAGAAGCCAATAAAGTGGCTTTCTCTAATCTGTCAGTTCCATCATTACTGAAGGCCAGTTTTCATGTTTTTGGTCTTTCCCCTCAAGCCCACTGAGAAAAAATAACTTTTATAAAAGAGCAGTGGTCTGTGAATGGCCTCAATTTAGATAAAGAATACCTTTTAGCAGCTGACAGTTGTACGTGCTCAGGTTCCCAGTTGACCTCAACTGCAACCAGTTTCCTCTTGGGTGGGAGCTCATATTTATAACTTTGAACAACTCATAGGGAGGGATCAAGACTTCCTTCTTGAGGGAGAAGTATTGTACAGGTGCACCCAGGCAGGTGAATATGGTAAATAGTGTCTGGTTCCCAAACTCCTGTGCCTCTTCTTTTAGGAGGGATGTGGAGAGGAATTGGCCAAATCGAATGGTGGCACCCGTGTAGGCGCTGAAGTGGACATCCTTCGTCCTATAATGCACCTCATAGCACAGAGGAGTGCCATTCTTCATGACACTGTCTTTCCTCAGCAGCTGGACTGCTGTGGTGAGGTAGTAGTGTAAATATTTGAATTGGAATGAACGTTCATACTGCTGTGGAGCCCTGGCAACATAGGCCACGGCTCTAGTAAAGTTAGAACGAACATTGCTGTTCAATGTATAAAACAAAATAGCCACAGCATGCGTGGTAGTCATGTTCTGCGGTAGAACTTTTCCTTGGTTAAGCCAGGTTAAGTGAGCTTTTTGCCACATCCCAAAGTAATTCTTCTGGGCTTCTATGTCTTTTGTGAAATAATCCCCTTGAGTTAGTTTCTCCATAACCTCTTTGCTACAGCCTTGGTACTGATCATCAAAGGAACCTGGTGCGAAGTCAAAGTCGATTTTCATCGCAACCTATAAAAAAATAAAAATCTTGAGTTTAATTTTTCAAATCAGATGGTGAATGTGGTTGCAGATTTGCTGTACTCTATAAGGCCAAGTCTTCTCCTGGAAACCAATATTTGCTGAAGTAAGTTTCACTGAAAATCATTACACTGTTCCAATCCTTCCTGTGTCAATGACCTGTGCTAGAGATTGAATTTGGTTTGATAAATAAATTACTGAAAACTTGAAAAACTCATCTCCCCAGAGAGGGAGTAACTCTTTTAACATCAATAAAATCACAGCATGTTTGCATATTAAGTACTTTGAAGAAAAAATTCATAATCTTGTAGTTTAATTATACTTTCTGTTTCCTCTGCTTTCCCCCCTTTCTATTCTCTCAGTAGTGTTTTCAAAAATATCACTTTTATGAATGCCCAAAACCTATATTAAATCCTTGAACTTTATCCTTAAGCTATGAATAGTACTAGGGGGAGCTCTCGTAAATAACAACCTTCTTGTCTACCCAGGTTCTGAAAACACTGACAATAAAAATAGCAACATACGAAAGCCAAAATGTCTGTTTTCTTACTGAATAAGGGTACGCTACAGCAGTCACATCGTTAGGTCTGATGGCAAGTGGCTTGTTAAGAGCAAATTCCAGAATGGAACCGACTCATTTGCAGGCAGTACTGAACTGGGACCTGCCCAGGTAAGATTCTTGTCATGGGGAAACAGAGAACTGATGCCCTTTGCCATCAGGCTAACTCGCAGGAGGAAGAAGAGCACAGCCAAACTCAGCACACCCAGTTGTTTTTTCCCATGCTGCCAGTGGAGTACATTTGTCCACCTCGGGGAGAGCAGAGTGAGTCAAGGGTTGGACAGTGGCCAGGAATGTGCCCAGGAAAGTCCCTCCCCTTCTGGAAAAGGACATTCCTTTCTAATGGGTGGCCAACAGAATGTTATTTATTGACATCTGGTGCATGTTAAACTGAAGTGACAGATTTGAATAGAAGTCCACAGAATATCATCGGTCTATCATTTAGAGTCATATAAATTATATAAATTCTAAAACATTTCTTTCTTGGCAAAGAAATGGTGTTTTCCTAATAAACAGTGCTCATTAAGGGACATGTTAAAGGATCACATTCCATCCAGTCAATATTAAGCATGTTGGAACTGGAACTTAAAGAACATCCCATTTGGTATTTTTACTGTGTTATTTATGAAGAGACATCAGCTAGTTTGTAAACTAGAACACATTTTTAAGACTGATTAAACGATTTTAACCAATAACTCTTCACAACAGGTATTAAAATAGGTCTACGGTATCTGTTTAAGCCAAGCCGAGCCAAACCAAACCAAATCGATAACATGATGTTCTGTCAACTGTCATGAGGATCTCTGAAACTTTGTTAATATGTTACTAGATCTCAAATATGCACTCTGTCATCTCTTAACATTAGGGTTTTTTTTGTTACACAGATCTTTATTAGAATACTTAAAACTTAAGTCAATCTGTATGACAGAGTTTAAAGCCAAATAGACTTGGTTTATTTTGCATTGTTTTCTTACTATGGAAGCAATATTTTACTTAATTTTTACAGTGGATCAAGAAAATAATTTTATGCCACTAGCATCCATAATGTCAAGTGTACAAACAATGAAGGATTCTACAATTTTAATAATTGTTTTCAACACTCTTTACTAACATGATTTGTTAAAATGTCGGAATGAAACTAGAAACTGAATGCCTAAGGTCTGGGCCATTTAAAGGCTGTGGCCAGGTGAATGCTCTGTTGAAGCACTGATCATAAAGAGATCACCTCCTCAATTGTCCCCCTACCTCAGAACCGTCTGTGGGTCTCTGCAGGCCAGAGAGGAGCAGCAGGAATGGCAGCAGGCCTCCAAGGAGCCAGATTCTTATCACTGTAGGAGCTGCAGTAGTTGGGAGAAGAATCTTCTTGCATCTGTTCATCAATGGACCCCATTTGCTTGTGTCACAAGTGCTTCTCCTTTGCCCTTGCATCTTCATCCTGAGATGAATTCTCAGCGTTCTCTTTTGAGGTTTTCGTTCAGTCTCAGCAGGAACCTTTTTTGCTCTTGTCTATGCTGAGCAACTTCTGTTGCCCACCAACAACTAATAGCTTGTCTGAGGGAGGAAATCAACTCCAATTTCTTTGCAAAACTGAAATCTCTGTGAAATAGCCAGATGTGTGCACCAAATAAGGGTTTCTAAAGAGAACTCAAGTTACTTTTCAATTAAAAAAAAAAAATCTCTGATCTAGTCTGTTTTCAGGGGAATGCCGAAGTCCTGTTAAGTGTCAGACTCAGCAGTTCAGCCTTCCCTTTCCCAGGCAAACAGGAAAAAGCATGCTCTGTCCAGCATCTGGGGCCAAGTAGCTTTATCTGGAGCCCCAGGCTTCCATCAAAGCTGATAAGATTGGCATGCGCAGGGCAGCTGGGAACGCGCCACCTCAAGGTGGGTGTCTATAGGCTCATCTGGCACTGCTGATAGGCCCTGCCCAGGACGGGCTGTCACAGAGCTAACTGTGTTTTAGGGTAATTGTCAAAAAGAAGGCCCTTTGTACTGCTTTTCCCTGGCACCTTTGAAATTCTCCAATCCAGAGATTGTACCTCTGGGTTCAAAGCTCTTCCCCCATTTTCACTTCTGAAGATATCAGGCCGTCTGTCCACACAATCCCAGTCTCCAGCGAATCCTAATGATGACTGTCAGGGGACTGTTTATGTAGAGCTGACATAAGTCAAAATAGGGTCCACTGTGCAAACTTAATCCAGCAGAGTTCTATTAAGCACTCTCTTTTAGGTACTACCCCTTCTAGTCTGAACATCCTTCCTCTCTTCCCAACCCTTGATCAAATTATATTTTCTTGCAGATATTTTGTATTTATACTCTGGATTCATTATTTAAGAAACTAAAAGTTAGCAATCCTTGATAATTGTTTTTCTTGCAAATATTTACTTCTGGATTCAATTTTTAACTTTTAAGGTAAACTAAATGCTGTTCTTAAGTATTCTAGTATTTTTTGGCAACCTAAATCTTTTTTAATCTAAATTTTCTGATGATCATAGCAGTTCTGCCTCATTAACAAATATTCAGAATATTTAGAAAGCACAAAGGAGAAAAAATTACACATAACTCATCACTTGGAGAAAGCCACTAATTAGGGTCTGGGTTTTGATTTATACACCCTTAGACATACACACACACACGTTTCTAGAACTAATATAGTATGCAGTTTTGCATACTGTTTATTCCCCTTAATATTTTATTGTAAGCATGTCCCTATATAATTTAATACCCATTGAAACATATTTTTCAAAAAAGGTTCACTATATTCCATTATATACGTGCTGCCACATAATGGAATAGCATGGGTGGATCCACGGACTGTACAGTCTCAGAAAAAGATTGATAAGTGACTAGAATATGGACTCTTGAATAAGACATCTCAGTTCAATTCCTGGTACTCCCTCTTCCTAAATATATGATCTTGGACAAGCTACTTAACCTCTCTGTCTCTCTGTTTCCTCATGTGTTGAATGGAGATAACAATAGTACCAACTTCATTTTAGTGTTGATACATTCTTAACCCTTAGAACAGCATCTGGCATCTAGAACTTTTCCAATAAATAAAACCAATTGTTATTATTTGCACCAAAGTTTATTTAATAAATATCTTATATTTAGCTTGTTTTCAACTACATAAATCTTTGTGTGTTTCTCACAATTTTTAAGATGTAGCTCTAGAGATGTGACTACTGATCAATGGAATGCATGTTTTTCAGATTTAACGGTAACCACTAGCAGTGTGTGAAAATATCCCTTTAAGACTTTAAAAATTCTTAAGATTCCTTATTAGCAATTGTTACTTTGGAATATTGAGATGTCATGACGAGAACTAGAATTAGAATATGAAAATTTGAATTATAGGTCTAGTTCTACCCACAATGTTGGCTGAAGTAACTTTAAAAAACAAGTAATTTATGCTTAGCGTCAGTTTCCTTAACCTTATATAAAGTTGTCAGTCTTAAATAAGGCAAAACTTTTCTTTTATTGAGCAAGTACTGTACTTCAAAACCTTTTTGCATGTTATCTCAACCCACGGGACAACCATGAGGAGATATTTTAACTTTTCCTTTATAAATGTGGTTGTTGAGGCCCTGTGAAGTTAAATAACTTTTCAGTAACCACAGGTGCTGTCCCCTGAAGCCCACGATCTTAAAACACTAAAAGAGTATAAGTGTCATTTTATTATTATCTTCTATAAAGGTTTTGCTATTTTTCCTATCGTGACTGCCACTTCCAGGATAAGACCACTGGAGGGCAGCAGAAAACTTTGTAACTCTTTATACCACTCAGTCTAAAAGAGGGAGAAAAGACAAGGGAATGGGACAGGGAGCAGGGAGGGGGAGAGAAAGAGAGAGAGAGAAAGAGAGAGAGAGAGGGAGAAAGATGGGGGTGGGAGAGTGAGGGAGGGACAGAGGGAGGGAGAGAGAGAAGCGGGAGAGAGAGATAGAGAGATTGAGAGAGACAGAAAGAGAGAGAGAGAGAACCATCAGTGAAAACAACTGGCATAGGGAAAAGCCCAAGGTCTGGTGTATATGTGAACATATTTGAATTAAAATGAAAAGAAAAGTTTTCTGACAATGTTTGGAGTCAATAAAAAGTCATCTTTTGCCTTAAGGGCTGTCTTATTAAGATTCTCATGTAATAATTTAATATTAGTTAATTTAGAGTTTGGGGTGCATTCAGTTATCATTTAATGAAACTTGATTCTTCAAAATGCAGTTTATTTGTGCTGTCTTGATGGGCTGGGTTTTGAAGTAGCACAGACCTTGTGTTGGAATTTTACTTCCATCACTTCCTACCTTTGTGAGTTAGAATGAATTACACTAATTCTCAAGTTGCATTTTCTTCATATGTAAAAGTAGAGACGGTAACACCAGTCTTGCAGGGCTCTGTTGACAATGAAATGAAAGACCAACAACTCATAGGGTGTCCAACACAGTGAAAGTTAATTTTAATTTTTTTAAAGCAACTGTTTAAGAAGAGGTTTTGCTAATTTTCCAGATCTGTTTTCTGGAATAAATTCTAGACATTCTAGCTTGGTTTTCTAAACCTTCTATCAGAGAATGGGTTGCAGTACTCACTAGACGGCCTTGCCCAGGGAAGAAACTTACCTTCTGCTACCAGCCTTAAGGTTTGACAATGACCTTTAGTAGTTCCTGTTTGGATCTCGTTGAACTCCTTCAGGTCTGTGTCTAAATTTAATAGGAGTGTTTTATTGCCAGAAGTACTTGTTATTCACAGGACAGTTGTTTGATAGTGACCCCATAATTTGGTAGGCAAAATGGGTTTGTGGAGTTATCTACGTTTTAACTTATCAGTCCTTCCTTAACTCTTAACACTCTTACAGAAGTGAGCAAAGCTCCCTGAGTGATTTCACACTTTTATAACTTTTTGTTTAGATAACATTTCATGCCTACACAAAAGGTGCAAGATTAGAAGGAATTCTGATACACCATCCAAATTAATCAGTTGTTAATATTTTACCCCAATTGCTCTATCATTCTCTCTTTATCTAAACAACTTGAGAATCAGTTGCAGACATCATGCTCTTTTACCCTTAAATACCTCAGCATTTATTTCATAAAACAAGGACATTCTCCTATATAACCACAGTTAATTACAAATATCATTTACATAATATTGTTGTCTAATCCATAATTCATAGTCAAATTTATTAACTGTTCCTATAACGTCCTTTATGGCTCTTCCCAGGATCACAATTTGCACTTAGTTGTCGAGTCTCTGTAGTCTCTTTAAGCGGCAATACTTCCTCAGTGTTTATTTTGCCTTTTGACCTTGGCAGATTTGAAAAACATCGGTCAGTTATTTTGTGGAATGTCTGCTAATTGGGGCTTGCACATTATTTCCTGGTAATTAGATTCAGATTATGCAGTTCTGGCAGGGAAATCACAGGGAGATGTTTTACCATTCTCAGGAGACATTTGCATCTATTGTTTTCATACATTTTGCAATAATAATTATGAAAGCAATTGCTTTATGATAGTATCTGGTTGCTTCGTTTTATATTGATCATCAGATCATGTTATTTACCCTTCCTTTTTCTCACTCTTTTCTTTAAAAGCACAGGATCTTAGCGTCAGGAAAGAGCTTTGTTTTCCTTATCGTCCCCCCCACCACTCCTCTGTGAATCTCCTCCTCAACATTGTTGACAGAGCAACTTCTGCTGCATGTGCCCTCACAACAGCTAGCATTCTGTAAGTGTTTGTTGAATGAATGAGTGAATGGATAAATGCTTCCAAATTTCAGTAGCTTGGGTACCATCGCCAAGAAGGCCATTTATTCTGGGAGAGATACAGCAGAATTGCTAGTGGTGCATAAGAGGTTCTGAGGCCCAGGCTCACAGAAAAGACATTTGCCCAAGGACTATGCCGGAGTCTGTCCAAATCCTGGGGACACAATGGGCAGCAGAAGATCTTACTTAACTCAGGGACCGTCTCAGCACTTGGGTAGAACAGAGTGATTGGGAATACAAGGCAAGGGAGTAGCCATCCTTTCACGCATTTGAAAACAATATATTTGCTGAGCATGAGCTGTGCATGAGGCTCTGGGGATTCAGCTATAACCAACCAGATATGGCCCCAGCTCTCTAGGAACTTAGATCTGTGAAATTTAGAAGGTCAGCTCATGGTAACAGGGGCCTAGCAGTTAGGAGGAGATTCTGGCAAAAAGCTCCATTTCCCAAAGGGAATTTAAAAAAAGAGAGTACTAGGCACATTAATTTGCTGGAGAATGGGGATTAGGAATGGGGTCTTAATTTCCAAATCATCCATTTTTCGTGGAGAGTAGAAGCTCTAAGCTTTTCGAGGCATAGTCAGGACTAAGAGAACTGGAAGTTACTTACATTTCTAGGGAGGAGCTGTGATCCCAAATAAGTCTGGGATCATGTTCCTCAATGAAAAGAGTAGTGACCGAGAGGACCCAGCATCCAATGCCCAGGCACTGGGCCCAGCTCCTGCTGAGGCTTGAGGGCATGTGAGGCTTCACGTGAGGCCGTCTGCACACAGGGCAGGGCTGAGCTTTTAGAGGTGGAATGAGTGGGTCCGTCTTTGGGAAACAAGATGGCAGAAACGGGAGATTAAGCAAGGGAAGAGTAGCATGATGACATGAGCACCCCTGCAATCTCCTTCTAGTTAATTTTCCTACATTTCTATGTTTAAAAAAAAATTTTGTGTGTGTATGGGTGTGCGCGTGCACATGTATGTGTGACAATATAGTCTTTGGGGGGCAAGTATTGCTTCAAAATCTGGAGTTTCTATTGCATTGTGTTTTTCTATTTTCAGCATCTCCTCCACTTTGGCATTCGTTTTGGTGGAATCCT